CCCTCCTCCCTCACCCTCCTCCCTCACGCTCCTCCACCCTCCTCCCTCACCCTCTTCCCTCACCCTCCTTCACCTTCCTCCCTCCCTCACCCTCCTCCCTCATGCTCCTCCCTCACCCTCCTTCACCTTCCTCCTTCACCCCCCTCCCTCCTTCACCCTCCTCCCTCACCCTCCTCCTTCCCCTTCACCCTCCTCCCTTCACCTCTCCCCCTTCTGCCTCATTTTCCCCCTCCTGTCTTTCCTAGCTCCTGTGTGTCCTGACAGGGCCCCTGGTGTCTTGTTCTTCCTGCTGCTAAGCTGGTGGTGGGGCGGGGCTCACAGCTGGGCATCGGGGGGCTGGTGGTGGGGCGGGGCCCACAGCTGGGCATGGGGGGGCTGGTGGTGGGGCGGGGCTCACAGCTGGGCATCGGGGCGGGGTCAGGGCAGCGGAAGCAGGGCTCCACAGAGGAGCGGGGAGGACAAAGGAATGGGGGCCACGCAGCCCTTCACAGAGGGTAGCTGCCCACAGCTTGGTGCAGCCCCCGCGTGCTCTCCCGTGTGAGTTAGAGCAGGAGTTGAGCCTTCACAGAGCCGCACAGGAGCGGTGTGCGTGTGGCGTCGGCACGCCTCGGCCCTGCCTGGGCAGCCGGCGCTTTCTGCCGGGGGCCTTCGTGTCCTCCGCTCTCTAGATGTGTCCGTGGCTCAGTGACACGGGCAGGCCCAGTCCTAGACCAGGCCGCAGCCCCTGCCCACCCCGCCTGCCTGGGAGGTGGGCAGCGCTGACCTCCGCCGTCTCCCCACAGGGGCTCAGATCATCGACCTCATGATGCTGGTCATCGACGTCACCAAGGGCATGCAGACGCAGTCCGCGGAGTGCCTGGTGATCGGCCAGATCGCCTGCCAGAAGCTGGTCGTGGTGCTCAACAAGGTGGACCTTCTGGCTGAGGGCAAGAGGCAGGCGGCCATCGACAGGATGACCAGGCGGATGCAGAAGACGCTGGAGGGTACCAAGTGAGTGCTACCCTGTGAGGAGGCGTCCGTGTGTGTGTCCGGGTCACCGTGTCTGTCCGGGTCACCGTGTCTGTGTGTCCTGGGTCAGCCGTGTCCGTGTGTGTGTCCTGGTCAGCCGTGTCCGTGTGTGTGTCCAGGTCAGCCGCGTCCGTGTGTCCTGGGTCAGCGGTGTCCGTGTGTGCGTCCGGGTCAGCGGTGTCCGTCTGTGAGCTGCTCCTCGTCCGCGCGGCTGGCAGGCTGCCCCCCTCCCTGCTCTGTAAGCGAAGCCACAGACGCGGAGCAGAGCTTGGTGCTGCTGCCATTGTCCCGCCGCGGCACCCCGCGGCCCCGTGTCCTGAGCGCCGGCCTGTGTCCCACGCCTGCCTTCTGTGCGCCCAGGCGTTTGAGGCCTCGGGGCCCGTCCCTGTGTAGAAGGCTGGGCCTGCCGTGGTGCACGCTGGCCGGGCTGGCGTCTCAGCCAGGCCCCGTGCCAGGGAGGCCAGAGCCGTGATGCCCACTTGGGGCGGGTGCCGGCAGCGGTGAGCCGCGTCACTGACTGGTGCTGAGGAGGCCGGTGGGGCCCGCCCCCGCCCTGCCCCACCTTGGGGCACGGCGTCCCTGGGGTCTGTGCAGGGTAGCTGGCCAGCCTGTCCCTGCAGGTGGTCGCCCGCTGCAGGAGACAGGCTGCCGGTCGGGTCCCAGGCAGCGGGGAGGGAGGTGAAGCGAGAGCCTGAAAGCCAAGCAGGCGGCGGCGGCGGCCTGCATCCGTCATCATCTGTGGTCTGATTCTGTGGGGCAGTGGGCGGTGGCTGAGCTGGGCGCTGGCCCGACGGCGTTGGCCAGGGCAGGAGGGCGTGGCACTGCCAGGCCGGGCATGCAGGGGCAGGGCGTGGGACCCGCGGTCAGCCCAGAATGACGACTCTGGTGTGGTTGAGAAGACCAGGACGCCGCCCTCTCCCGCTGCTGGCCAGGCCCCCCGGTCACGGGGAGACGGGCCCCCCGATCCACACAGAGCAGCGGTCATGGGGAGACAGGCCCCCATCCACACGGAGCAGCGGTCACGGTCACGGAGAGACGGGCCCCCGATCCACACAGAGCAGCGGTCACGGTCACGGAGAGACGGGCCCCCGATCCACACGGAGCAGCGGTCATGGTCACGGGGAGACGGGCCCCCGATCCACACAGAGCAGCGGTCACGGTCACGGGGAGACGGGCCCCCGATCCACACAGAGCAGCGGTCACGGTCACGGGGAGACGGGCCCCCGATCCACACAGAGCAGCGGTCATGGTCACGGGGAGACGGGCCCCCGATCCACACGGAGCAGCGGTCATGGTCACGGGGAGATGGGCCCCGATCCACATGGAGCAGCGGTCACAGGGAGACGGGCCCCGATCCACACAGAGCAGCGGTCACGGTCACGGGGAGACAGGCCCTGATCCACACAGAGCAGCGGTCATGGTCACGGGGAGACGGGCCCCCGATCCACACAGAGCAGCGGTCATGGTCATGGGGAGACGGGCCCCCGATCCACACAGAGTAGCGGTCATGGTCACGGAGAGACGGGCCCCCGATCCACACAGAGCAGCGGTCACGGGGAGACGGGCCCCCGATCCACACAGAGCAGCGGTCATGGTCACGGGGAGACGGGCCCCCCATCCACACGGAGCAGCGGTCACGGGGAGACGGGCCCCCGATCCACACGGAGCAGCAGTCATGGTCACGGGGAGACGGGCCCCGATCCACACAGAGCAGCGGTCATGGTCATGGGGAGACGGGCCCCCGATCCACACAGAGCAGCGGTCATGGTCACGGGGAGACAGGCCCTGATCCACACAGAGCAGCGGTCACAGGGAGACGGGCCCCGATCCACACGGAGCAGCGGTCACGGTCATGGGGAGACGGGCCCCGATCCACACGGAGCAGCGGTCACGGGGAGACGGGCCCCCGATCCACACAGAGCAGCGGTCACGGTCACGGAGAGACGGGCCCCCGATCCACACAGAGCAGCGGTCATGGGGAGACGGGCCCCCCATCCACACGGAGCAGCGGTCACGGGGAGATGGGCCCCATCCACACGGAGCAGCGGTCACGGGGAGACGGGCCCCATCCACACGGAGCAGCGGTCACGGGGAGACGGGCCCCCGATCCACACGGAGCAGCGGTCACGGGGAGACGGGCCCCCATCCACACGGAGCAGCGGTCATGGGGAGACGGGCCCCCGATCCACACGGAGCAGCGGTCACGGGGAGACGGGCCCCATCCACACGGAGCAGCGGTCACGGGGAGATGGGCCCCATCCACACGGAGCAGCGGTCACGGGGAGACGGGCCCCCATCCACACGGAGCAGCGGTCATGGGGAGATGGGCCCCCGATCCACACGGAGCAGCGGTCACGGGGAGACGGGCCCCATCCACACGGAGCAGCGGTCACAGGGAGACGGGCCCTGATCCACACGGAGCAGCGGTCATGGTCATGGGGAGACGGGCCCCCCATCCACACGGAGCAGCGGTCACGGGGAGATGGGCCCCCCATCCACACGGAGCAGCGGTCACGGTCACGGGGAGACGGGTCCCCATCCACACGGAGCAGCGGTCACGGGGAGACGGGCCCCCCATCCACACGGAGCAGCGGTCACGGGGAGACGGCCCCCGCTGCCTCCCGCTCTGCAGCCGGCACCATATCCCGCCTGCTGCCCTGTCATAAAGATCGATTGGCCTTCCCAGTTATGATATGGTTTTTTTCAGAATCAACACCTGCAGTTCTCCCCCAGAATTCTCAAGTTGGTTAAATTAAAGCCCCAGACTGTAAATGGACCAAATGTGTCATAAAAGATTCCTGGCCTGCCTTTTGTTCGCAAAATTCATCAATCCGATAAAATCGACACATTTAGATAAGTGTCGCATAAGAATTCAGACTTTGTTATTCCCCACGGAAGCGGGTATGAGACGGTAAAAAGGAAGATAAAACATTGGGCCTTCTTTTGGTAAGTTATTTGACGCCTGCGGTTTTATTCGCTTGTCAGGAAGGAGAGGGCAGGCCTTGCCGACCCCACCTCCAAGCACGGTGGGTGTCAGAACCGCTCACTGTGGGAGACAGCCTGGCGTGCTCTCGAAGGTGAAGTGACACTCAAACACTGGTTAGTTACATTGACGGAAAATCCTCACTTGCACGTTTAGATTGATCCTATTACTTCAGTGAACGCTAGGTCAGACCGTGGACTTTATCAGAGCAGTCTGCCCGTCCTCAGCGCCCTGCCTGGTGACCAGCTGGGCCCGAGGCCCTGGGGCGTGACCTCTGGATCTGTCCACGCCGCTGAACTTTCCTGACAGCTCTGAGTTCCTCAGCAAGTACATTTTTTTTTAAATGCGAAGAACATTTTTATCTAGAAAAAGTGAACCACGCACTTATCAAAACCTGAAAAACATAGAACATATTTTTCTATCCAGAGAACAATTGAAAGAGAACTTGGAGAGTCGGGGCTCCGGCCGCATGTCCTCGAAGAGCGGCTGCTACAGTTTTGGGTTAAAACCTTTTTTCTGTACTCTTTAGTTCTTGATAGTCTGTTTCAATAAGTGAAAATTCTAAATCTTACCTGGTTTTTTGTGGCCGCTGTTTTGGAATCATGTCTGTTTAGTCCTTGCCAAATCCAGTGTCCTGAATAACTTTCCTAGTGTGTGTCTTTCCAATTTATAGTTTTAGGAGGCTTTTTTTTTTTGGTCGGTCGTGGGGATTGAACTCTGGGCCTGGGCGCTGTCCCTCAGCTCTTAAGCTCAAGGTGAGCGTTCTACCGCTTGAGCCACAGTGCCACTTCCGGTTTTCTGGTGGTTTGTTGGAGATAGGAGTTTCACGGTCTCTCCTGCCCGGGCTGGCTTTGAACCGCGATCCTCAGATC